AAATGGGTACCTGTTACCAAATCACAAGTGGCAGAGCCAGAATACAGCCTATTGGCAACCATAAACTTGTTTTATGAAGCAACAAAATATTTCTGTTTCTCCTGCAAATTTATTAGCAAATACTATCAAGGACAATAGAAATTGAAAAAAAAAAAAAATTACTTACTGTTCCCCAATTTAAATTTTAAATTGTATACTTCTCTGAGCTTCCTACTTAATCATAATTTAAAAGATGCTTTTGTGAATGTCTAGAATATACAAACCAGAATATTCAGATATGAAAAAACTATGTGGACAGCCGAAGAACACCTGTCATAAAAGTCATGACTCTCAGTATTTCTCTGCATAGTTGTTAAACTGTGTTTCTCACATATAACAAAAAACAATGTGCAACATTAAAAAGCAAGCTAAACAATATCAATATCGCATTTAATCAGATTTTTTTCTACTTTGCAGAAAATTCTGAAAGCTTGCTTAACTATGATATAAAAACTACGTATTTGATTTCAATATATATTTGTGTCAGTGGCTACCTTATCAAATATATCAAATACATTTGAATACACAAATACATTTGAAGGGTATTCAGCATTTTACACTTTTGAACTTTCAGAAGTTAGTTCTCAGGCAAGCAATCACTCTTAGTTCTTGTCTTAGAAGTAAAGATTTCAAACTGTGAGAAATTTACAAGCTTTAGAAGTTCATATTTTATAATCCCATATTACCAATGGATTCTAAACCACTCGATCACCTGACTTCAGGTTTAGCTGCTAAATTACTCAGTGTGAACATAAAAGCCTATGGATGTGAAAAGGTTAGTTTCAGAATTTTTCTACACCAAAACATACAGTAATATACGCACTTCAGTGAATTCAAGGCATCAAAACATTAATATTGTAGGAAATGAATTTTTTAACATACTGGATGAAATAACGAAAACACCTTGCTAAACAGAACTTCAGACTCTAAGGACTGGTTCTGTAACAAGACTTATTCATATTGACTTTTCGTTAGTCAATTAATTTCCCTTGGTACATGCTGACTAATATGGTTGCTAGTCCTTACCAGTAATAAACACAGCTTCAAGTTCAAAATAAAGGATGGCTTTAATAAAAGCGTTACACTTTCTCCCAGTGAAAAGAAGAATCTACTCTAAAAAATATTAATTAAGTGATACAAAATTGGGAAGAACAGGAACAGAATTATGAACATCAGTTAGTATTTTGGGAGAAAGATGTTTCTGGATTTATTAATGATTTCCAGTAAAAAGAAAAAGAAGAAAAATACAATAGGAAAAGACTTCAAATTCTAATTCAGGGCTTTTGCAAGTATAAAACAGTGACATTAAAGTCCTTCAAGTGACACTCCCTTGCACAAAAAGTTCTTTTTTTTTTTTTTTTTTTTTAAATTAGGTACTAAAAATGCACAGATTATCAACATACAGATAAAGAGTCCTTACTTGGTTTTAGAATATTCCTTATATTTGGAACGTGTAACAACACATTAAATCCCTCTTCAGCCTGTCTTCCTTGATCAATGTTAAATTTAAAAAATAGAAGTAATTTTCCCTTTTCAAACGCACCATCTGATTTCATAGGCACAATGCATTTTGAAGAAGCAGTAAAAAGACTTGAAAAATAACCTTCCATCAACTATTTTAATCATACTCATAAGTATCTCAATATTTATTATCTGACAGACAGTGTAAGATAAGAGTATGTTCAACTGGTAGAAAATATCAATCAAGTAAAACCTGTCACACATCATCTGAATAAAATTTATAATTGAGTAAGTTTTTAGTGTCATTTTCTTGAAATCCTCTTCCAGAATAATATATGCTTATTTTTGTGGTTGAGAAAAGAGAATTTTCTTTTTTCTTTTTCATGCACTGCTTGCACTACAAGTTTCATCAATAAAACACAAAGAATCTGTATTTTTTAGTGGACTACAATTTCTTTAAATTATCCTGAAAAAACCCTCTCTGTACACAACCAGATTTCTTTGTGAATTTGTATATTTTACCAAAATATAGCCTTACAGAAGACTGTGAAGCCATTCAGTGTCCCATCAAACTGGGTGAATGAGCAACATCTTTGGATAAATGCAATTCAAAGTTATTAAATCGAAGAAAATAAATAACTGGCATAATGAAAGAGCTACATTGGTGGATGTGTACCACAGAGGAGAAAAGCATCAAAAAGAAAATCACTTTTTAATGTTCAGTGGTCATCAAAGAGACAAAGCAGACACTAAAATGTATAAAAAGTGAACAAACCATAATAGCATTACTGTATTACATTACTGTAACAAAGTAAAATGTAATTAAAAGTGTTTAAAACAGATTTAAGAAGCAGCATGAGAAAAATTACAAAACAATCTGAATACAGAAAAGATAAAATAGGGATCCTCATGAGCCTCTTTTTATCGTCTCATCAGCCAAGAACAAAGACAGAATTTATGAGAAGTAAAGGCAAAATTGAATTTTCTGAAAAAGAAAGAAAAAATGTAGACTTATTTTGTGAAAGTACAAGACTGAAAATATTTAGGAAAATATGCAAAAGAAACCAATCTTGAACTATAGATACATACATTCCATATCTATATCTATCTATCTATCTGTATCTGCATTATTCATATACTACATATAAAAAATTTAACTAGTCTGGTTTGGAAAGATATTGTCCCTGTTGAAAATCAGTACTACCAGTTGTGAGTTTTGTTTCTTTTTCACCGGAGTAACTAGTACTGGGAGCTGGCACAGACAAGACATGGTATGAGTGACTACTGAAAATCTAGTTTTCCAAGACAAAGGAGGTAAAAATGAAACTATTTTTCTGTACATCTTATTCAGCCAACCCCTTGATTTAATTTTGATTTTGAACTTTTATTTATTCGTATGGCAATTATTCATGTGAAGAATTTACTTGCATACCACCTAATCAATACAGCTGGGAAGTCAAAGATAACAGAAAATACAGAAATAGTAGTTTAGGGAAGAAACATGGAATTTACTACATATTCGGAAAAATAGTGTGTATTTTTCTATGCCTTCAGTGTACTGACTTTAAGATTGCACAGAGACAGTGTATGCTAGAACTTACTTTTATCAAATTATATATATATACAGAAATGCACTTAGAAAAAACCCCAAACCCCTCTCTCTTACTCTCTTGGAAAGAAAAGATATTTTCATGACTTTTTTAATCCAGCAAGAAACCTCAGCAACAGAATGCTGAGTAGCTGGGTTGTGAGAATGTGAGCAGCTGCTGTTATTATAACTAAAGGTCTGTCTATGGCTTGAGCCTGAGAGACCACATGTTCGGCTGTCCTCTCATCTTGCCATCCTCACCAATTAACTATTAACATGGAGGGCTGTACACATGCTCTCAGGGGCTCTTTAACAGGCTTCTTGGAGAGTGGAACAACTACACAGCAGGGCTCTGGGAACTGAGTAATGTGGGGTATAAGGAACCCCCAGCAGCTTTGCTCCTCCTAATGACAGTTTTTTCCGTAGTTTAAACGATAAAGAAGGATACATGAAGTTTAATAATTTCAGAAAAATTAAATGCTCTCATTTGTTCAAGGCTGCTAAGCAAAGATTCTGGGAATAATGTTTCTTTGCTGTTTTTTATTCAATATAGTCTAGCAGTTACTGTAAAACAATTCTGTGAAAATTAAAAAATCAGTTATTTAAAAATCAGACATATTATCAATCTTAAATCCATTCCAATCAATTTATATGGAATTTAAATCACAAACCGAAAAGCAGCCTCCCAGCTGCTAAAATCTTTGTCCTTCAGTTTGCTTCTTAGAGATGCTTCTGGATTTCTCTAAAATATGATCATACTGTTTATCAACGTAATTTATAAAAAAAAAATTACAATGAAACTGATTTTACATCCCAATTATGGACAGGTAATTCCAACATGTAAAAAGAAGGGTGCTAGTTTTACATTCACAAATTCTATTAATTACATTAAATTTTACTGTCAATCTTTCTGAAGACAAACTGCCATCTAATGTTTAAAAATAGCTGAGTAAGGAGACGGAGGTTTGAACTGCAAGAGGAATATTCGTACACTTTTGATTGCAATGGTAAAATTAGAAAATCAATTTTCTATATTTTCTAAGGAGTAAGTGCATCAGGTATCTAGATAAATAACATTTACAGGTATTCAAACACCTTTACAAAATGCAATATACATAAGTAAGTGGTATGTACTTTCCCGATATAGGATTTAATCTAATGATAAATTCATCTACTATGAAAACACTTTGCATAATAAGAGGTTTTATGCAGTACTTTTTTTACTATAGTGAAATCAAGTTAATATGTAAAATTATAGGTTCTCTAGTTATTGTGAATAATAATTTTGCTTTTTTAAGTTACATTACCACTTTCAGATAAAAAATAAACCAAAAACAAAAACCCCTCAAACCTTATTGATATTTTTCTTTTTTTAGTAAAAACACTTATTTCCAGAAGATATATTTAAGTGCCCATATACTCTCAGGATAGGTGCTATTAGCAGGTCCTGATTTTGCAGTTGGGAAAATTACTCTTATAATGTAACTGGTTTGCTCCTGGTGCCAGTAAATGGGGATATTAGAATTAAAGCGGAAACCTGTATCTTTCAATTCCTGGCTTTAAAACAAGACCGCACATCATCATAAGGAGCATGACAGATGAATACACTGGACTGAAAATGTCTTGTAGGCAAAAAAAAAAAAGGGAGATTACCAGAATTCTCTTTAATTTTCTACAGTTTCTGAAATTTTGCATAACTATCTAAGACAGTTTTATGCTTAGGTCTGTACAGATGTTGCAGCATGCTGTCCCACAAAAGTATATAAACACTACAGCAAAGTCACATTTCAACAGCCCTTTGAATAAAAAGTTTCCAAAATGTCCAAAATTGCATTTATTTTCTTACCATAAACTTCCCATTCTTGCTAGCTGATGTCTCAGCTATGAAATATAGCAAAGAGAGAATTCCTACCTCAATAAGGTGAGCAGGTATGGTAATGATACAGGCTGACAAAGACTTTCTGAGGAGGCCACGGAGAACATACAGGAATTTTGTAAGGCTATGAATATCTTCAGGAGTATCACTGCAACAAATATCATCACCCCACAACAAAGAGCCCAGACTCTGAATTCCTATCCGCAAAATATTCTTTTGTTTTTTCTATTGGGAAAAAAAAACAAACAAAAGAAGCCACTTCTGATTTTTTTTTACACACTAAGAGGAAAATTTCATGTAATGTATTTAAAAAAATACAATGCATAGAAATCATATCCATAATAGCAACACAGTTTATGTAATCATAGCTTAATCTCAGATTATATTATAAAAATTACAAATGGAATGGCATTTTATTCACTGACTGGTTATCATACTATGCCAGCTAAGCAAATACAAGTGTAAGATTCAGAAATACCAAACTACTAATCAGCATATTTTAACCTGCTAAATGTCAGTATATTCCGACACAAAATCCAATACTACTGTGATTTTTCATGTCCTTTCTCTCCTCCCTAGAAAACATGCTAAAGAATCTTTTCTCCCAGTTCTAAACTGGTCTGCTGGAAAGGCCTGAGATAAATCAAAACACAACTTTTCTCTCTATTTTCAACTTTCCACTGTGTTACTTTCACAACCTGATTATTCGTCTGGCTTCAGTTTCACTTCTGCTACTTCTAAAGGAACAAGGTCAGTGGTCTATCTCACCAGAGTATGCCCCTTTCACTATTTTAGATGTCTTTAAGTACCATCTATATTCCTGTTAATTCCTTCCAACTACTGAAGGAAGGTTTACCCACAGCTATGGAGAAACTGAGTCTGATGCTGATGTCTGAGACATCGGCAGATTGTCTCTTAAGGACCACACCTTTCTGAAAGTCCTTGACATAAGTGTGGATCTACTTTGTTAGCTACTGGGTACTAAAATCTAAGCTGTTTTGACATGTAAAATCCTAAACAGCCACTTGCGTTACCTGCCTAAGACACTTTGCTGCCCTGCAGTAGGCAGAAGAGCAGCCAACAGACGCAGAGGTCCCTTTTCTGAAGGGGCAGATTATGAAACCAGATTTGTTTATGCAAAATAAATGCCATCTCTCATTTCAGATGATGACACATCCACTTCTAGTTATTTGATGTGACCTTTCCTGGTGATCTTTGAGAAGGATTTTAGGTATATTTGCTATCAAAGGATGAGACACCCTTGTTGAAAGACTTCCTGTACAAGATGATCAAAAATACATTTCTAGAATTCAGGGTTCATAATTAAAGGCTTTTTAAAATTTTATAAAATACATACACACACATATATGTAAATACTAGTTTTGATAAATAAAAGCTTCCATGTACTTTCATTACAGTGAAGTCCCTTGATAAATTGTAGATGTTCATCTCCACCAGCTGGAATGAACAGTAACTCTTAAGCACAAAATATTGCACAGCTGCTCTGGACATCCAGAGGAAAGATTTGGACTAGACAAGAGGCTACTCTTGCAAATACTTCCTTTTCCATAGTGGGTAGACAGAGCTTGAGTTGTGAAGCACAGCTACTACCACATGGCTCTACACCCATCCCACGCTCATGGCGTACACAGTGAGCTGATCTGCCAATTTGCTCACAATCTTTGTGAAAGCAATATATATTTTAACTCTGGTGGGCTCCTTACTCTTGGGCTTTGCAGGCTTTACTTAGGTAAAGTTAACTTTTTACACTACCATATGAAGACCAGGAAAACAGCACAGGATAATATGACACAATTTGACTTCTCTGTATGGTATTTGTTAGGCTTGGATGCTCAGAGTTGTAAAAAGAATAGGGAAAATATAAGCTAGACCAGTATTCTTTAGTGACTTTTAATCAGGGCAGATTCACACATTTCTTGATGTGTGTTTAAACCATAGTACAGTATCAGGCATTTAAGAAAACAGCTTTATTCAGTTATAATTGATATTGACCATGCAGAGAAAGTGTTCTGGGATTTCAGAATTTCAGAGCAAACATACATTAAGTCTTACAGAAACTTTTTAATGAGAAAAATGTTTTTTCTTAAGGACATACATTACAACACCCAAAGTATCAGTTCTCTTACTGGACAAAGGATAAGAGATGCTTGTTTCACAATATTAAATTGTAAAAATTGTAAAAGACATAGCTATTCAAACACCAGATATCGGATGTATTTATTTTGGCCAGTAACAGAATTTCTACTGGTATAACTGTCAGGCCCAATGGCTTATTCCATAACTGAAATATAAGAAAAGCCCAAGTCTAATATTCTATAACAATAAATCTATGGTAAACAGTAGGATAACTTTTTTTAGATTTGCCACTAGATCTTTTTACTGCCATTAGCTCGGAAATTTGGATTTTTGTTGTTTGTTGTTGTTTGTTTTTTTAACCTTTTTCATGTAATTTTTGTAAGAATGTTTGCTTTGGCAGCAAGAATTTTGATTATGGAGAATTAAAAAACCCAACTCCAAGTGAACAAAAAAAACAGTCTCCTCCCAACTTTATCATTCAAAGTCACCCAACTTGAGCTTCAAAGCATACCAAAGAAATGTTAAGGACACAGAGTTGCCTAGGAAAGTTCTGTTGTCATACATGAAAACCCCTAAATATACTCAAACAAGTGCTCTCCTGTATGACTTCAAACTGTGCTCAATTTATGAAGAATTAAAACTAATGATCAGCAGCAAAGAGTTACTAGGAGCTTTTAGAAAGGATGTAAAACTGATGCTCATATTTTTAGGTTAGTCATTCAAACCACACATTTCCAGACAGATCTTGGCTGTGTGAACAAACAAGTCAGTACTTTGGTTAACTTCAACCAAACTTTTCTGTAGCCTAATACCTGTAAACAGTATCTATTGTCCAAAGGCCCTCAAAGTCATGCAGGATAGTTAAGAAATAAAAATCTATAATGGCAAACAGCAGACAGTTGTATAAAACTAACATTAACTCATATTGCTAGGTTCCAGAGATGCCTATTTTTATCAGTGGTCTACTAAGCCTCTAATAGCAGTTTTCACTAATTTTCCTAATTGTGTCAAACATCTGAGAACTGGGGTGAGCCACCTTCTGCTCACTTTTCCTCAGGCCCCTCTCCAAATACTGGTCAAAAGTAGTAGGAAGTCTGAGTATCATAGGCCTACTAGCGCGAAATTAGCCAAAAATTTCTGAAAACTTTACCAGTCAGGTTAAACTTTTCATAGGAATCATAATCCAAGAAGCAACACATTTCTAGACCTCCACAATCTAGAGATATTGGAAGGATTACACTTCACAAGAAAATGAAGCTTTAATGGCATCAGCTTTTGTCAATCATAGACAGCGATTAATGGATCTTAAAAGGTCCATTAAAGTCAGTAAATAAATTTCTTGAAAATTCAGTACGTTTTGCTACATGTTGGCCTTTGAAGTTTTCTCTGAACTTCATGAAAGCCACTGCAGCAGGACCCACCCAAAAGGAAGATCACTGTTTGGGGGTGAGAAGAGCATATATGAATAAACTTCTCAAAAGCTTGGACAGGACTCATGTCCAGAAGAGTACAGGCTGGTCCTTACTCTACAGTCTTCCTATCTGGCTACTTAAAAAGTACTTCTGAATGTTCAGTAAGTAGAGAGGTGAACTTCTCAGATTTAGAAGATAAAAAGATCCAAGGTATGTTCTGGGCCATAACAACATTTAACTCTGGATGTATTTTTAAGAAGTATCGTATTCTGCTTCTAACTGTATGAAATTTGAGTGTACAAAGAAAGATGACGCATGGGGAAAAAAGGTATCTTACAAGAAAGTAATAGAAACCACTCTAGGAAATCATATGCATATGCAAAATGTAAATATCATATGCATTGAAAAATTATATGCATTGAAAATGCATATTCATTCTCTTGAAACAATGAGGTGAGCACTAATGGTTTTCTAGATGGATAAACTGGCCTGAAAAGGGACTCTTTTTCTACTTTTTAAAACTACACCTCAGAATCTTACCTACGTAATTTAGTGAACATATACTTTCAAATTGATCAGTGTTAAATTGATCAGTACTGCTCTTGCTTTATTGACACTTGTAAGACATTTTTAAACAATGAATAACAGCTACAGAAAATAGCTATCCAGGATGGTTTTGCTTTCAAGCAAAAAACCAAAAAATACTGGCTCTGACCAGCCTTCATTTTCTTTTACTTGTAAAAAAAAATTCAGGGATAGACAAAGAAAAATAAGAAACACTAGCCTAATCTCTTCAGTATGTGGTGGTTTGCAGGCTGAAGGTTGGCAGGGTGTTTGTTTCACTCAGTACTGCTCTTTGCAGCTCTCAGACAGGACCTGTCACTCTGCAGGAGAAGCATCTCTGCAGGCGGAGTCGTATGGAATGACATACCTGTTGCCATGGCTACCACAGCACGGGGGGAGAGGTGTCTGTCAGGGACTAATTTACTTCTCCAGACTGGCACTGCCACCAAAGCAAAGGCAGGCTCTCCCATAAAGCTCAGCAGAGACTAAACACTGAGCACCAAAAACCTGAATTTACATACAAGCGTTCTGTGCAGGTAATGTTTCTAAAACATACTGTTAGACACAAAAACATCCATTCCAACATTATCTTCCCCATAAAAATTATTTCTAAGATATTCAACTATAGTGCACAGTGAGGGTCTCCCACACCTATACTTCCAACTTCTATTATAGTAACATTGCTATTGCACAATAAAGGCGATTTACCTGTCAATTAAGCAGCAATATATATAATTTATTATTTTATTCCCATTAACTCCAAAAAATTTGCATATTACTGAATATGACAAAGAATAATAGATAGGGCTCTGCTCAAACTAAAAAAAGGGCTTTCAGCCTATGTTGTTACATTTAAAATGTTTTTTATTACCCACAGTATGATTTATGAAGAGTACAGAGATTATTAGAAGTCTGGTAAGCTGTTTTGATTTGTAAGTTGAAATAGCATTCTTATTTCTTTACTTGTGTTTCAATGCTTGCTACATAAAGATGCATGCCCTTTAATTCATTAAAATATTCACTCCACTCCAGTTAAAATAACATTGAAAAGAACTGAAAGCTTAAGATTAAATGTTGAATCTCAACAGTCTTGAACATATTATTGCTAAAGCTGTAGTCTGAAAAAAAAATACTGTAGGGGAAAATGTGTTTTGCTTAACTAGATTATACTTGGCAATCCATTTATTAGTTAATTGCACAGAATATGCATTTTACTAATGTTAACTTACAGTTCTTCCTCGCATGGTCTCGCATCTGTAACAGGTAACAACTCCCAAAGCATATTAAAATATGAAGCATACACTATATTTACTTTGCTTCTTTACTCTTGCAATCCTTAGAAACAGTTTATTCTTTGTTATTTTGTCCAAGACCTTATGTGCCACCCTTGAAAATTCAGAAAACTACATTAGTTATAGGATTACAGAAGAGTACAATGGTCTTCAATACCTGGGGATCAGAGCCATCAAACCCTTCCTGGTAAATGACCCTCTGAATGGACAGAAGCAGCCTTCCATAAGCACTGTTCATATTACTGTTGGTAAGAAGAAATAGTTTAGTAACGCATTTTAATACTTTTCTACATGTTTCTAACAGCTGTATTAAAATAAATACAAGCAGATGTAGCACTCGGTCTGAAAGCATAATATAGAAAAAAAGTGTCACAGAAGAAAAAAAACTAACCCTCTTAGAATAAAGTTGACATTATAAGCAGTTGTGATTGTTTCATGATAAGTAGTCCAGTGCTCAGACATTTAGTGAAAGCTAAAATCTCTAGGGATTAAGATAACTTAATTACATCAGGCTTATTTCCATCTAGAAGATTAATGTATCAACTTAAAGTAGAAAGCATCATAGCACAGCACCAATCTGTAACTGACAAGGACCTACCCTACCGTTATTCCAAGGAACAGCTGACTTCCTATTACTGAAAAAATTCATACAGACAACTGCTACAACAATCAAGATCAAAAAAAACCCCAAACAAAACAAAAAAAACAGAAAAGAGACAACACTTCCTAAATTCAAAAGTTCATGCAGTTAATTTACTTTATCAGGAGAGTAAGACATATTTTACTATGGTTCCATTTTGTATCCACACACTACAGGTGTTATCATGACAGCTGAATTGTGAGGTAGAATTTATTTTATGTATTATTTAGAAAATACAGCATAAATAAAGCAAACGAGTAGCTAAATATGGATTTAAGCAGACTTAAAACCAAATGAAAGTTCAGCAAGTTGTCTTGTCAAAATCTTAGAAGGTTCAGTTCCTTGACAACCATCCCAGCCATGCTCCCCAATCCACAGGCTGATACATACAAAGTACAGAAAGATCTAATCTTTACTTAAAAAAAAGAAGCCAGTTGTTCACTTTTGAAAGAGACATACTATTTTATTAAATCCCATAGAGAGTACTGGCTTGTATGTCTTTACTTGATGGAGGTTTCTCACTGCAGCTGAGAGTTTAAGCCCTTCTACCTTTTCTAGAATCACCATTTCCTTGTAGGCTCATTAATCACCAGAGGGTTGTGGACTCAAACCTTCTTCTGTACTGCTTGGGAAATATGACAAGTTATTTTGAAAATTTTGTCACTAAAAATACTTTTATTTGCTCCAATCATTTTATATGTCGGGTCTGATGACAGCCTGGGTGGGAATTGACCTTGAAAGATCATCTCATCCAAACATTAATGAAACTATTCCTGCTACTTTAGTAGAGCCAAATATTATTCAAATGTATTTTACTAATGAACACCTAAACAAACCCAAATAAACTGCTTTCATGCTTTTGCACGGGAGGGAAGACAGCTTTTCTTAGAAGCACTTCAGAGTTACAAACGTCTGACTTTTACACCATAGCTTTAACTCAAAATGCTACATCTCCTTCAAGTAGCAATCCAAACTCAATCCCCCCAAATGATATATTTAAGTTACAAGCATTTACAATCAAATAAGCCATACAGTCTTAATAAATAAAGTTCTGAAACACTTAATGTTATAAAACATTATATAACGATGTATATAAATTATATAACTTACATAACATACAAATTCAAGTTCTGAAATACTTAATGTTATAAAACATATATAACAATGTTATAAAACATTAAGATTACCCTTCTCAGATATAAATAAAAGGGAGAATCTTCAAATTAAACTGCATTTATTTGTTTTCAGATTTAGCAGCCTAGAAGGCTACTGGTTAAACTGATATACCTTAATAATTTAACTCTGTGAAATTCACAGCTGAAAATAACTGGCAATACATAATCTCAACATGACATTTAACCTGTAAAGCATCTCAAAGAGGAAAGAAAGAGTAAACTTTTTCTTATGAAGTCAACTACTTTCATAGTGTTCAGTTGCAAAAGGGATGTCTGCTAAATGTTATACCTGTACAGTCTTGCAGGTGTCACTTGACAGGGCTGGTGGTGGCAAAGAGGGCTTTAGCCTCCAAACTAGCCAAAGTGTCCTCTCTCTCCATGCCTTTGCACTATTCCAACAAACACACAATCCTTGTTGCTTATGGAGTGCTGTGATTTCTTCCTGCTTTTGCCAGAGCTGGAGAGAATCTGCAACACTACACAATAACCAGAAGAATTTGTGTACCCTTCTGGATACTCCTTTATACTTTTGGAAAAAATAGAAGCCGCTGTTCGCCACCATTAGAAAGGAGTCTGCAACTGTCTTTTAGCCACAGCTAGGCACACAGTATGTGTAATATGAAAAGATGACTGTGGTCTTTGTCACCACAAACTACCATTTTCAAGTTTGTGTATCTACCAGTTCTTTTGCTTATGAGTGCTACGCTATCTATAGAGATGCCAGAGAATATACTGCAATCACAATACTTTTCAATTCTTGATTTATTATTAACTTGCTTTTAAAAGTTAATGGATAAAAGAATAAAACACCAGAATTAAAGTGTTCCAAAATTAAAACAAACTCCATACTTGGCAGCATTCAAGCCAGGCTGGACAGAGCATTGGTTGACATGATCTAGTGTGAAGCAACCCTGCCCATGGGCAGGGGGGTTGGAACTAGATGATCTTAAGGTCCTTTGCAACCCAAACCATCCTATGATTCTATGATTCTGTCTTCAATTAATCCATCCACGAAAGATTTGCAGCAAAGAAAGAATTAAAGAAAATAATGTAACGAATATAATTTTTTTTTAAATGTATAAATATGTGCTTATTTACTTCGTGCTAAAGTATTAATGGTTTAATTGAATTTGAAGCATGCAATGTAAACAAGGACATGAAAAATATTATGGAAACACTATTTAAAAAAACAAGTTCTATTACCCTTCTGGCAGTGTTTGTTATAATATTTAAAGAAGGAAATAAAGATATTTCTTATTTTCTGATTTCTAAACTTTTTTTGGCTTTGGTACTAAACACCATTTAATTCTGATAATGAGTTTAAACAATTCCTTCTCTACTTTTTTCTTTTTGTTTAGCAATTCAGCAATGGATAAAGCAGGAGCCGCAAGAAGGTATCCCAGTTACAACAGAGCGTCTGCATTCTCTGTTGATAGTTTCTCAGCAGTTAACAAAGGTTAGGTTATCAAGGGTATGACAAATAGCCTTATTATGTATAAGGAGACCCCATTAGGCAAGACAGGTAAACCTGTTCTATCTAAACTTATCAGTAAATCTAGACTCTAGATAAATCTATTCTTTTTCAAAAGCATATAATTCTTAGGGTAAAATTTAGGAGTATTACTGAAAAGCTGCTGCTTAATTATTTTAGTTCCCTTGATTATCAAACTTTTCTTTTGGTAACTGCAACTGAATGAGGAGGACAGAAGTAGAGAAGTAGAAAGGAAGTCTTTTCTGCGATGCACAGATATACCATAAAGGATATGTCTGCCTTGCTGTTACGTACCAGCTTTAGCGATGCAACAAGGACACCAGAATGTCCTAGCAACAACAATTGGAAAACAGCTGCTGTAAGCCCCACAACCCTGTTGACACGGCCTTAGCAGTAGAGCAGGACATAGCGCCCCTTCCCTAACATAAAAAATATGGAGATAAGAAAGACATTTATCCTTCTTTTGGCACCAAACACCCAGTCCCATTTACTACTTCCTTTAGAATAGATTTCTCAATCTGTTTTCACTTAATGTTTATCATGGGGCAATGAACTTCTAACCATCTTGAGCGATTAGCCAAAATGGGACCCTGTAATCCAATTTACCCATCAGGTACCAGAACTGCAGTAAGATCAACCACAGTACTCCACACCTCCCCCCATAAAAAAGCAGATACACACACACTTGCAAAAACACAGGGAAGAAAAGAAAGGCTGGTCCAAACTTTAAGGTGAACCAATGATGTACATAACCTCCAAACCTGTCTTTAATTGCAAAGTAAAAGGCCACTCAATAACTTTGTTCTGTTGAATCAGCCAAAGAATCCCCTTTCTTTGCAAGACCAAAAAGAAGCCAAGTGCTTGTGTGGATAGGAAGAGAAGGACACATACATGATTTCTGAAAGGGCCAAGAGTCCAAATAAAGCCTCCCCATCTCTGATCCAGTAATGGAAGCACTGTAATTATCTTGCCTATTAAAAGATGCAGCATTGTTTTTCCAAGGACTGTAAAATATATGTTCACTATAGTCACTGCTTCTGTCAGAAGAGTATAAGCTATACACAAAACATGGTATATTACTTTTCTTGTGTATTTTCTGCTTTAACTGTATAATTTTATTTTGGAATTATTTATTAAGCCTTTGATAAATGAAACTGAAAAAAAAAAACAAACCCCAAACAATTTTTAGAGATTTTCTCTATTTCAACTATTTCTTGTAACATTTTTTTTTAGTCCCTTCCAGGCTATCAGTACTTTTTTGAGGTACTGTCAGTCTAATAGATTACAGAGATTTTGCAATGCTATATAGGTTAACAGCATTATGCAACCAAGTGTTTTCTGGGCTATGCATCTAAGACCCTCAGTACGAGAAGCTTATGTTTAGCAAATTATATCCTCTAAGGGGAGACATCCTAACTAGCCATGTTCACGCTCCTAGCCCACTGTTAACACACATCAAAAAAGGTTAGCTCAAGCTCCCAGTGGGACTTTCAGGCAGTCAAAGATGAGGTCTAGTACAAACTGTTAAATTCTATTGGAAGAGTCAACTGTGACTATCATATTGTTTCAAAATCATTGTCTAGTTAATCAATAAAACAGAAAATTTTACTATTTATGATATATTGAAGTTAGCTTTACATGCCGGGAGCACTGTATTGATCTTCCAAGCACTAATGCCTACACAGTAATAATATCCTTTCCCTCCCTTTTTACAAGCTTTTAGGTTAAATCCACCTGACAGGATTGTTAACTTCTTTTCATTCCTCAAGAAAAGAATGCTTCCTTCAGAATTTCATCACAATATTTGTTAAAAATACAGTAGAAACCTAATACAAAAGCATAAACATTTTCAAAGCACTGAAATAATTGGTAACATTCACACTTAGTATTGGATTTAAGAGTGTTGACTAATGTGTATTCAAGAATCACTGAAGATAGGGATGAAAAGGACCTCAAGAGGTCTGACAGATTATTTACCTAACTTATCCTTAGAAATTTTCAGTGATGGAGATTCTGTAACACCCCCAACCTATGTCTGCAAGACAACTTCTTCTCATGTTAATCATGAGAAAAATATCTCATGCTAATTATTTGAAAAATATCTTCTTATTTCCAGCCTGTATTTCTATCCCTCCTGTTTACTGTAGCCCATGACTATTTGTCCTCCCTGCAGACAACAGAGTAACTACCCTCTGTATGTCAATTTTTAATGTCAGTTTTCAAGATTCTGCTTAGAATTGTCTAAGAATTTCCATTCTTCTGTCATGGGCCATACATCCCAGTTCTAGATGTACACCTGTCCTTACAACCTTCTCTTACTAATTCCAGAGTTTTCTTGAAGATTGCTATCAAAACTGGAAAGCCTTATTATGGCTGAGCAGAACGATTTTGCATGTCTTCCACATTAAATTCCAGTTTTAGCACTACCATGCTTTTCAGATTATGCTTTTTGGTTGCATTAATCACACAACACTGGTAATACATTTTGAAGATACTTTCAGCGTGCTCAAAAATCTTCACACACACAGTGTGGTAAAAATCAACCACAACACAGCATACCATTTCCAGGAATCAGCCCTATACACTGGGATCCATAAAACTAGGTACTATATAAATTAAGTGACTGGGCTGAACAAAGAGATCGCTTGCCCATGTTTGATGTTTGACTTGAACTGAAATGTCTCCAAGAAATATATACTGGATGCGTGTGCTACAGGCTATTATGAGGCTTTGCTTCCGTCACTCATTTTCTCTTGATCTTCCTTAATTCATTACTGATAGGCATAAACCATAATAAGTTTTCATTCAGAGAAGAGTTTATGATTTCCGCTGGAATTAGGGGTGTTGTGTAAGACATCATTAGCGATTTTAATCTATTCACAGTATATTTTCCTTAGGTGAAGCTGTAGGATGTAAGCAGTAAAAGTCACATAATTAACTAATGTGATATAGCATCCTAAACTATGTAGGTCAAAGACAGCCTGTCTTCTTAGCCCTAAAAACTGTATGGATATATTCCTAAAACTGATAGCCATATGACACACACATCTCTGAAAGCTGATGGGGTATGGGGCTCAGGCAGTAGTTCACAGAGAGAGTAGTAGTTTTCCCCAATCCTCACACTCAGCTGTCAGTAGGGCTGGACGGCACATGTAGCTAGGCTGTCCTAGTAATGCCTGCCTTAATTGTCCCTGCCAACTTGCTTCCCCCCTCAGCTAAGGAGTCAGTATACTGAGCTGTCGCTATGCCACGGCAGCTTTGCTGCCAGTTGTGGCATTTAGGACTGACGTAAGAACCACAGCTGAACTGCTTGTGAGCCATGCATGACTACAAGACTTTTCACAGCAAGTGTAGATGCAAAAATATCCTTTACTACTAATACGCAGGCATGTGGTATTACAACTTACCATGTTTTCACTGTAGGCTGTAAAGACAATTCTTCAGGAAGGTAAAAACTGTGCCATTTTATTGACTGAAACAGTTCTGGAGACATTGTTTTGGATATATCATAATAATGACCAAACTTAGTAGATGTTGTTGGGCTGGCCTGTGGAAACAACAATACTGATTACAATAACCTATTATTATCTGTCAAAAGAAAGTAATTAACTAGCAATACATTTGAAAGAAACATCTGGGGTTTTCCCCACTCTTTTTTTCCTATTCTTCAAGTAGAACAACATTATAATATTTACTACCAAGTTTTGGTACCCCTGTTGACAGATGTGATTTTTTCACAGAGAATTCAGCACTTACTGTTGCAAGTTGCATCACAAAGGTGGAGTCAGATTCTTAGATACGTATTTTTGCACATGTTCTAGACCCATGATCACAAACTTCAAAAGGCCAGATAATATGGAATATGCAGACCAGGATGCGCTCCACCTATCTGATTTTTCAGTATCTAGGAATGTCATGTTGGTACAGAAACATTTTCAGTTGACTTTGGAAATATTTCACTTTGTTTATTTATGAGAAAGAAGAAAAAATTACCATTGCATCTTCACAGGACTGCTTTTAATAAAAAACTCTAAAAAAGAGGAAACAGTTAAAAACTACTTTTAATGTCTTGATTGGTTGAGCATTACACAGACATTACATACAATAACCATGGTTTACTGTAATGAAACTTTATGAGGTCTCAACTTTGGGTATATAAAACATCATAAACCCCCTAAATTTAATATATATCATAGAAGGAATTACACATTTTAATATGCTTTGCTAATAAATAGAGGGAAAGAATGCATATTTTTGTTCCACATTAGTGGAGTTCAGCACACAAACTGCAACATTATTTGAATCAAACATGTAATGTTAACATCCCCTAGATTGTTATAATATGCAGTAGTACATAGTACATTGAGGTTGTCTGCTATAGGAATTGAACAGGTTTTGCTCTTCATGTAGCAATCCATTTTCTTCATCTTTTCTGTCCTTCAAAGCTATCCTGGAATGAACAGTCAAGCAGAGTAAAGCTGAGAGGCAAATGAGGAACTTCAAGGGAAGGAAAACACTTGGCACAAATGTAAACCACTTTATTTTTTTAATGAACACACTGTAAAGGAGTAACAGATTATCAAAACAATACTGAAATTGATCTTTAGGTTATAGCACAAACACCACTGTGCTCTGGATCAGATTATCTCATCAACTGTTTTAACTCTTCTGAGGAAAAAGAAAGGTCATTTAGAATAACCAAATAAGTTTTATAATACAAATATCAACCAAAACCACTGCATTTCTACTTGGCAGGATGCCAAGACTGAGAAAGGTGCTGAATCCTGGACTTTTAACAGCAGATCACCTATTAGTTTATTTACAGGACAACTACCCTAGGCCTGGACTGCAGGAATATGCAAAAATATTTTAAAGTCATTTTTCTATCTCCTAACTCCAAGACTTACTGTGAAGCTGAATTCCTTTTAAAAGCCAAGAGCCACCTCACTTATTAAATGATAAAGTATTAAAACAGATGAAGTATCTCAGTGGTTGTGTAAGAGAACAGGTGAGAGAGATATTTAAGGATGCTGATGCTGTAGAACAGAATGCTTTTGAAAGGTTGTTTTGAAGAGAAGTTTGGACTGGTAGGTAAAATGAAATATTATTTTGTTTGTACTTAAAAGCATGGACTTCCTTTCGAAAAGTGATCAGAAATACCCTCAGTAAATAAAGTTTTTCAATAGGTTCTGTAACAATTTAGAACATTCTATAAAAGGGTTTTTCTTTTGAGCAGACCAATATATATACATTTTATCCACTATTTGAAAGTTGAGCAGGGTTGTGTGTGTATGCAACGAATTTCTTTGGAACAACTTCTGCTCCAATCTCCACACTTGCTATTCTTGCTATGTACAGGAATGGCAATAGGTATACTGAATTATTACAGTAATGGGATCTAAGTATTTGTTTGTATATTGAGCAACAAATTATTCAGTTTCAACTCCAATTATTGAAGAAAGCTTGTGGTTTTCATAAACCTTGTTCTTGCTAATAAAGTAAGTACTATAACAGTAAAAAAAAATATACAGACATGCCAGACACGGCCATGTATTTATAGTTAGCTTTCTGAAATCAATCACGCCATTTATTTTCACAATTTTGTTTCATGCTTCAGCTTACAAAAACCTGTTAAGATTAATTAGAATAATTTGATCTGGAGCATATACTTTGAAATTATTTGATTAATAGGTAGTAGGCCTGATCAGTTATCAAAGATTATAAACAGCAACAATAATACAATCTTTCCTACAAAACCAATAGAATAACCAAACTAAACCCAAACTTTTCACTAAAATGCATAATTAGTTTTTAATTAAAAAAAAAACACAAAATTGTTCATGTATATCTAGTCATAAGAGGCAGATCAGTTTTCTCAAAAAAAATATAAGAAACCCACATTCTCTAAATCAGTGCTCCGATTTATCAGTAACTGATTTTTAAAGAAGGAAGTCCAACAAAATGCAACAATCTATCAAACCCTAAATATTTTTAACATAAAATGTAACTTTATTTAAAATGAGGATTCTGAAAGCAATTTAAACAGGGGCTGTTCTTTGGCCTATAATCTATTCTTTATCCGGATTACAGATCAGAATGTTTTTACTGCAATCTCTGCCAGAGCTCATCTTTTTACTGTGTACTTCCAAGCCCCCTTAATGTTTTAGAAAGGCCTTGACTAACTGAACTTTGATCTGATGTCTTCATTGAGAGAAGCTCCAGGTTGCCCATTTCAGATGCAAATCCTTACTGAGACCCAATAGAGTTTAGTAAAGACAGCAAAAAAGAAGAAACAAGAAGTTTCCAGGATCCTCTTTGAGAATCCTGAGGCACATTGGTGTCCTTAATCCACGCTGCTGCATGGATTAAGGTAGGTGATAACCTCTCTTGATTCAAAAGAATAAGCACAGTGCCTACAAACTGGGTGGAGACTAGGATTTGTCTATAATAAAACACCATGCAATAAAAGCTCGGTCTATGTCAGAAGCCTGTGAATAGGCCTCAATGTACTGCATTCCCAGGCTTAGCGGGGAAGCTTGCAAAAAGCCTACCTGAATCAAGTAAGCATGAATAATCTGCCTTAGCAGAATGACCATGGAGAGTGTGAAGCAGAGACTTTCCACTCCTCTTAAGTTTGATCTGATAAATTTATTAGTGGATTGGAGGCTCAAGCCTGTTCTTTCCTACTTTGCACAAGGAGAAATACACTAAACTGTCAGTGAGCAGAGCATGCTTTTATACTACCGTCTGCTGTTAATGTTTCTAATTGCAATACTAATGTGCTAGAAATCTCAGATTTAGGATGAATCAAGGCAGAAAATTGATTTCATGCTGTGACAGTTTATATATTGCCCCAAGAACATAAGCAGTTCATTCAAAAAAAAAAAAAAAAAGAAAAAAAAAGAAAAAGAAAACCCCACAACTGTCTTGTATTGCAAAATAGGCTGTCCATATACTCAAAAGTTTAAACAAAATTAACCTCTGATACAGATGAAAGTAACAAACTGGCAAAGGCACATCAAGCACATGTTACTCTGAAAAATTTCTTCTCTATCTTCTGTCTTTTTCTGATGTACAAGGTATATGCAACATGTAAGGAGCAACTGTGATAGTCATTAAGAGTACCAATATAAATACCATGCAGAAATAAGGTCTAATAAATGGGAAGGGAACATGTGAACTATTAATGAAAATCTCTTTTATTACTTAGAAATAAAAACTAAATTAAGGACTAAAAAAACCACAAAACCAGCTTTTACTCAGCATTCTTAACTTCATGTAAAGGCAGATAGTGGATGGAAAAGTTTCCTGCTAACTATAGAGTTCTAGTTAAAGCAAAGCTATTTTCTCTCTTTCATACTTGAAATTATTTGACAGCAGTTTTTCAGAATGTACTGGTTTCTCATTTCAACCACTTTGGAAAATACACCTTGAAAATTAATTCAATGTTTTGTTTTGTTTCTGGGCTTTTTTTTTTTTTTTTTAGCAAAAGAATATTTAAAGAATAAATCACAGCTGAAGTTGTTAATTAAATGATAGGGCTAAGTGTATCAAACATCTAGGGTGCTGCAAGGCAACATGACATTTTTCCTCAATGGTGTATATTCACCAATCAAATCTAGCACAGCACCAACAATATAAATAAATCATAAAAAATAGCAAATAAAATGTTGAAAAATATAAATTTCAAACCTATTTTTCAGTTATCAGAATATCCTGAGGAGTTTTAGGTCTAGATGGCTTTAGACCGCCATTTGCAAGTTTTCATTTTTAAAGTAAATTTAACATATACATTAAAAATGTTGTATCTCAGCTATTCAGATTGATCGGCATCCATGACTATTCAGAAAGCAACCATGGTAACAAGGGAAATACCCCACAAAAGATTTTATTCTATCTTGCATAATCAAATTTCAGTAACTGAGGATAAGTAATTATTATAGTGAAATAAGTAAGTATTATAGTGAAATATTGTATTAGTGAAAGTGATTACTTCTATGAAGTTATAGAAGATGACTACATATCTACCTGGATTATTTATATGTTTTTCTATTTTGTTAGGACATCAGAACACTATTTGTGACCAATATGCAATCAGTTCAATATCAGTGTACCAGAAATTCTGCTAGATTTTAAAAAGGACAAATTATTTTTGAGATGGTTCAGAGTGGCAAAGCCAGCTCCACAATAATAAAATTGATGAGATTATATGACTACCCTGGAGGCTGTTTGATTTGGTATGTCACCATATATAAGTCTTTTCTGACACAACTATATAACCGTGTCTGTGCAATTTCACAGAAAACCAAACATGCCAAGCCTTGTAAGATCGTTTTGTCACATTCCAATTATGTGTCCTGGGTTCAGCTGTAGCAGTCATTTTTCCCCTTCTTGGTAGCTGGTGCAGTGCAGTGTTTTGACTTTCAGCTCGGGAACAGAGCTGATAACAAGCGATGTTTTGGTTTGGCCAAGGACTTTGTGAGCCTCATGCTCTGCCAGGGAGGAGGGGAAGCCAGGAGGAAGCAGGGACAGGACACCTGACCTAAACTGACCACAGAGGTATTCCATACCACAGCACGTCATGCCCAGGATGCAACTGGGAGTTAGCCGGAAGGGCTGGGAGACTGCAGGGTTGGAGGAGGTATCGGGCAGAGCTTGGTCGGGCTGGGGGGGGGCGAGTTATCGGTCGGCTGGTGGTGAGATGATGTATTCTCTTCCCTTGTTATTTCCTTTATCATTATTATCATTGGTGGTAGCAGTAGTGATTTGTGTTATACCTTAGTTACTAACTAAACTGTTCTTATCTCAACCCGTGGGAGTTGCATTCTTTTCGATTCTCCTCTCCGTCCCTCCGAGAGCAGGGGGAGGGCAAGAAAGGGGGGGAAGTGAGCGAACAAATTACCTGACTGGGTTTAAACCACGACAGTTCTTTTTGGCGCCCAACGTGGGGCACGAAGGGTTGAGATAAGGACAGATCTGACCAGATTAATAGTCACTCATCACAATGACGATTTATTGGCTCTCAGAGTTGTTTTGCTTGATCTCACAGCTTCAGAATGTTGTAACTTACGTAGAGCCGGTATTTGCTGTGATAGTGTTTATCAAGTATGGGGCCTGGGCTAAGGTTCTTGTCTCACTGTGCTTTATGGCAATGGCTTGTAATACGGGCGGGCTCCAGCAGCAGGGCGGGACGGACGTGGCCGTGGACTTGTACCTGGCTGTCCGGCTGCTCTTCACCGTCCTGGCCCTCACCCTACTCTCCATCTTCGTGAGGCTGCGGGGAGCCGAGGGGGAGCGGCCCCGGGAGCCGGCGGCAGCCGAAGCGGCCCGGGAGAGCGGCCCCGGGGACCAAGCGGCGGCGGGAGCGGGGCCGGAGGCCGCGAGGGGACGGCTGCCGGTGGAGGAGGTCGGGGCGGTCGAGGAGCGGAAGGAGGCAGCTGCCGAGCAGCGGGAAAAGGCGGCGGAGGAGCCGAGCCCCGCGGCGGAGCCGAGCCCTGCGGCCGAGCCCAGCCCCGCGACGGCCGATGGCATTTCCCGGAAGCCGCCCGCCGAGCCCCAGGAGGATGCAGGAGACCAGGCAGCATTTCCCAGCAAGGCAGAGGAGGAAGAGCTGGACTCAGGAAAAGAGAAGCTGGCGGTGGGAGAGCCGGCAAGCACAGCGGCTACACCAGCCCCAGTGACAAGTACAGCAGCTACACCAGCCCCAGTGACAAGTACAGCAGCATCGTGTGAGAGTTCTGAAGGTTTTGAATGGCCTTTGGGTGTCCTTGGGACCTGCCTGCTGATTGTGGTGGGGATCAGCATGTTGGCACGCACACAGACTGTGTTTTACCCACAACCATTTTGTCTGATCTCAGAAGTTAAGCAGAGTCAGGTTTGGGTCTTGTCTGGGGTTAGACAAGGATATAGGGGGACCAAAAGGTTTTCTCCAAGGCTGGACAGTGATGAGTGGCAGGGTGTGTGGGACAGTATGGGCAAGTATCTAGTCCACTGGGCCCCTCCAGTGCTTTGGAAGCGTCGGAGATGGAAGGCAGCTGTATGGAGTCCCCAGCAACAAGCTGCAGAAACTGCTGAAGGGGACAGTGAATTATTTTGAGCCTGGTGGGCCCAATGCACTTCAGGCCATCAGAGCAGAGATGCAACACAGAGATGGACTCATGATCGAGGGGTGGACTTAGCAATGGACACTATTGCCCAGGTTATTCACGAGTGTGAACACTGCACACAGTCTCTCCTGCTCTGGAAGACTGTTACAAGAGATGGAGCCTGACATCATGGACCAGATGGACACAGCAGCTTTATAGGGACTGGTCCATGCACTAAGTTAAGAATGCACCGAGATAAGAGTGATGGTATATTGAAAATGTGGGATCTGAGCATGACGTGAATGGTATGGAATAAGGGGTGGATAATGTCCTGGGTTCAGCTGTAGCAGTCATTTTTCCCCTTCTTGGTAGCTGGTGCAGTGCAGTGTTTTGACTTTCAGCTCGGGAACAGAGCTGATAACAAGCGATGTTTTGGTTTGGCCAAGGACTTTGTGAGCCTCATGCTCTGCCAGGGAGGAGGGGAAGCCAGGAGGAAGCAGGGACAGGACACCTGACCTAAACTGACCACAGAGGTATTCCATACCACAGCACGTCATGCCCAGGATGCAACTGGGAGTTAGCCGGAAGGGCTGGGAGACTGCAGGGTTGGAGGAGGTATCGGGCAGAGCTTGGTCGGGCTGGGGGGGGGCGAGTTATCGGTCGGCTGGTGGTGAGATGATGTATTCTCTTCCCTTGTTATTTCCTTTATCATTATTATCATTGGTGGTAGCAGTAGTGATCTGTGTTATACCTTAGTTACTAAACTGTTCTTATCTCAACCCGTGGGAGTTGCATTCTTTTCGATTCTCCTCTCCGTCCCTCCGAGAGCAGGGGGAGGGCAAGAAAGGGGGGGAAGTGAGCGAACAAATTACCTGACTGGGTTTAAACCACGACATTATGTTTTTAAGACTAAGAGTGAACTTACTAGGCAGGTATAACTACATCTAAACCAGAATTTATAAATGTAAGCTACAATGTAAGGGGAAAATAAGCTTTTTGTTCTAGATCATCAGAAATGCTATAATTTTGTTATGGGTTGATTGTGCCATTGGATTAAGTAAGAAAGTCACCAACCTCTGGAGGTATATTATTCACAAAACACTAACAACTGCAAACTCTGAAAGACTGATCATTGGGCTTGTTTCTTGTATTCTCCCTGCACAGTGATTAGTTTCTAGTGACAGTGATGCTGATATAATCTCAAGTGCTTACTTCTGTTATGCACATGGATAAGCAGGACAACAGCTTGCTTTCACACCAGTACTTTCACCACAGAGATCTAGTAAGTACTGCTGATTAAACCTACTTGAGCAATTTGTGTACAACTAAATTTGGGGAAAGTTTGTAAGTGACCAAATTATTAAAACTTTCACAACAAGCTGTCTCAATTTAATAATACTAATACTATAATACCATAATACTAATGGAAAAATTCCATGGAATGTTAACTTTTTTTTTACTTTTAAGTTACTACTGTCTGCATAAAGTTTTACATTTCCTGCACTCACAAATTCCCTTTCTCTCTGTATCTCTAGCAATCAAAACTACTTTGGTATTTGTGGTGTATGATAATTTGCCCTCAGGAGGCAATCCTGTAAAACTGTCTGTTGGCAGTTCTGTTGTGTAGATTATACGGAAAAGCATATGCTCTGCAAATTCATTTTGACTGCAAGAGGAAAAAAACATGAAATATCTATTACCTCCATTTTTGGTAAATTTTGGTAGCGCCAGGCTATTTTCATAGAATCCTGAAAATTTGCAGACTTAACAGCTGCTGCTTCTTCTCCCAATTCATTTCTTTGCTCATCAAGAAAAGGGGCTGGAAGCTCCTGCAGATGGAGAGCAAGAGAATGTCAGCTGTTGGTAGAAATGGCAGTTCAGATTTTTATTTCTCTCCCCCACAAAAGTTAGATAATATACTTAATATAATGGATAGTCGCAAATTTTTTAACAAAACTTGATTAAAATAGCTGTTCTGAAATACTGCCTCACTACCAAAACTGAGAGTGAAGAAATACATGTAATTATTATGGGGAAACTATGCAACTATAAGAGAATGCAGAATGGAAATACCACTCTGAATATGCAACACATTTTGAGCAACATCCACATTCCCTTTTTTTTCGTCTTGCTTTAAAGATTGATCTCCTAAACTATTCTATTTCTGAGAAAAGACAACTTCACTGCATAGTGAATTTAAGCCTATTTTATAATAAGATCACTTTTCTTTGTTAGCTTCTGTAGATCTTTCAACAGCATTCAACAGACCCAACAGCCTACCGACACAGGCTGAAAATAACTGTAACAGGATGGCTTCAATTTTCTCTCCTCCTAGCCATTATGCATGATATCTACTAATGATGGCTTCCTCATGAGAGCACAAATAAAGGAATGAAAGGAAGGGACAAATATTTAGTACTAGAATGTTTATCAGAAGGATCTAATGAAAACATTTCTGGCTTTAAAAATAAATAAAAATAAAAAAGAACGTTGCACACAGGAGAGTGTAATTGTTTTATGAGGACAGAACTGCAGCTTTGATTTAGACCTAGATTAGGAACAATGCTGTATTACACTCTTCTGCTATCTTTCTTGCATTGCTGAAAAAGTGAACAACACTGGATGCAATCCAAGCACAGTGTTCAGAATTTATGCTCTTTGACTAGAGGAATGAAGTGCTACCAAGTTTTCTGACCCAACTTTATCACCCATCTCTGTAAGCTGGAATGAAAAAGTACTCTTTATCTGCTATAAATAGAGCCAAGATCTATTTGAAAACTAAGTTCATTAAACAAAGACTCTTGAGAGAGAATCGAGATGTAGTCTCAAGGGTTAAAAATATATAGAGCTAGCCAGGATCTCTGTTATAAGGTATGAGGTGTGAAGACATAAAAAGAAAAAAATAAAATCTGAAAACTTCAGAAAAGCAGCTCAATGGAAGTATGGGATACGAATGAAACATAACATAGAGCTGATACGGGCCATAAACATCAGATTACAGTCACAGCTTTATGTAGGCAGACACGGTATAAACAGACACACATAGAAATAAGACAATGAAAGTTTTAATCCATTTTGGATTTAATATTACACTAATTCAATATTAAAGAATACAAGAGAGAAAACCTGCGTATAGTCCAGTATGTAATCTTTGGAACAACATGATTTATTTTTGTTTCTTTAGTATAAATTATCATAATATCTACAATTATTGAAAACATTGAGAACAAATGTTTCTAATTTCAGGACAACTGTTTGTCTCTTTCAGTGGCTGGTCAGTATGCCCCCACAGAGAAAGGGTAATGGAAGCTACGAAAACATTTATGTAGTTGCTTCAACAGTTGCAGAAATAGGACAGCTGTACCCCTGTGTTTCAGAAGCTGATCAGAAGATGAAGCCATACCTTTGAGCACATAATTTTATTTTATTCACTTTCATTTGGCAAAAGCCTGGCAAAGGCTGTGAAGGAGGATGGTGATGTACAGAATTAAATGTTAAGATTTCTTACAGCTTATTTAAAAGATACACTTGTATATCATACCGATACTAGTACAGTTTAAAAATTAAGCTTTGTGGGTAGGAAAGCTACACAAAGATGGTAATTGTAAGTTAGTATTTACCACTTTCATTAAATTTACAGATTTATAATGGATGTTCCAGTAAAAAGAAAAATAAATTAAAAAAAAAAAAAAATTATTCTTGTCAAAGTTTCCTTATACCTACCCAGAATGAAAGCAGGGAAACTTTCAAAGATTTCTGATGGGTAGGAGAAAATGAAAACAGAACACTGTACCGAAAGCTTCTGAAAAAGTCTAAATACAAACATGAGCTGACAAGCACACCAATGCATTTCACATCTATGTGGATACATATTATTTGTGTTTACTTCTAAGAGCATTACAGAAAGGATTTTAATTACAAAAAAAAAAAAAAAAGAAAAAATTGAATTTCTAATGTAACTCAGATATCCACAATAAATAGTTAATGAATCTTATTTCAAACTAAGGTGCTATGTTGAAAACAAACTACTGGACAGTTAAACTTTTATGCAAATTTAATTTCCTAATAGACGTATCCATAGATTTAAACTGGCTATTGTAAAAATGTCTTTTATAGTGAAAAGCTGCTAACGCATGATCATGTCAAAATATTGCTCAACTGCAGTAATTAAAAAAAAGAAAAAGTCAACCTTCATTTAAAAAGTGAGTTATGTAAAGGAATAATCCCACAGGCCAAACCAACATTTCCAGATCTCTCTTCCTTTCACTCAGCAAGATCAACTGGCTCCCAGGTACTACCTTTAAATTTTTATTCTGGTGAGTAACCTCTGTTTTTCTGAAAACAAGTGCCAGCCAAGAGAAGTTTGGAGGAAATCCTGAAATCCTGCTTAAGCATTTCATCAAACTCCCAGAGCTTGTGCCCATTTCAGATCCCACCACTGATGTAACAAGTTGCTACCTCATCTTGCTGTATTATGACTGAGCAGGGATCACATCAAACACAAAGCTGAAATCCAGGAAATGGCATAGTTCACCTTTACTGGAAGTAAGAAGAAAAACATCACCAATATTTTTTTCAAGCAATTTAATATTTTTCTCCTCTAGAATCACTGCAAAAGCCTGTCACTTGTACTACTAGTTCATTGTTACTATATAATAATAGGCAAAGGCAAATTTGAGATGGAGGCATTTAGCTATATACATCTGTCTTTATATACATCACACATAATGTGACAGAGGTCAAGACAGTAAGGGGAGATTCTCCAAGCATTACTGATGAAACACAAGCTACTTCAATACCCTCATATAACACTGAAAGAAAGCTTTTGCCTTGCAGTCAAACACAGAACAAAACCTTCTTACACAGCACTATATGGAAGGGAGACACTAGCTGATGACACTCAGAACCTCAGTCCAAAATAATCAGAGGCAGATGCATTATCAGTGCAACACAATTAGGCACTGCGGTATGCCCTAACTGCTGCTAAGAATGAAGCAGATTAAGAGATCAAGTTAAAATGGCTTTACCTGAAGCTAATAAAGACCCTTCTAAGTAATCATCTGAAGTAGTCTTTTTTTGACAACACAGTTTAGTATAGTTTATTACCATTGCAGTCAGCACATACATTATTTTACATCAGGTTTATGCTGTTCTAGTCCCTTGCTACCCCACAGGAGGAATCAGAAGCACTCTCATGCCAAGAACAACTCTTTATTTCCCCAGTGGATTTTCCAAAATGCATTATCTAATAATTACCACACTTAGCTGAAAAATATGTTTCTTAGATGTACCTTGTTCTTGTCCCTGTGCAAGAAACATCCTAACTTTACCACAATTATCCCAGCTTCTGTTTACCCTTGTTTCTGTCTCATTTACACTAACCTGTATGAAAGAGAGGCAGAACATGTGGTTGCTATTTGAAGGTATGTCTCCATTGACTAGAAGTCAATGTGCATGCCTTCATTAGCCTCGTAAAAGACTAAGCATGATATACAGATGATTGCTAACGTTGTTTTGCCTTAGGATGTCCTGACTCATGTATCCCAGTCCATAATTTTCAAAACTAGATCTTTGTATAAGCACATCTGGAAAGGAGGAGAGCTTAGAACTGGTTAGTAGGCTTGGGACTGGGAGAATTACAGACAAAGAACACAGTTATATAAACCTGTTTTATGGGCAATACTGAAATTGAAATGATCCAAACATCTTTATCTTCATGATAAATGCAACTGGAACAAAAGGTTTTCCCCTCTTCTGAAACTGATATTTAAATGCTCTTTGTTTCAAGGAAATAGCTCTTTCCAAACCTGACCATACCTGAGTGATACAAAGCACCCAAGTGCGAAAAAGTTTTCCATTGTCATAACCTAGGCATACTCTCAAAGATTAAGGCTGGTTGTTAGATAAGTACTTCATAGCTCTTCCATGTCATGAAAAGTATCATCACTGTCCAAGAACTACAACATATTCATCAATTCTCAGATTGTTCTTAAAACTACAAGGAAAAGTTATGGAAAGGGTGAAGCAAACCAGCAGCCAAACTAGCCACAGAACACCAGCTTTTCTGGCACAGCTATATAAAAAGCGAACTGAAAACTATACAGCAAAACATGCATGGAGAGTAGTCGAAGACATTTATGAGCAACATTTTAAGATGGGTAAGCCTGGGCTTCTCCTCAAGATATCTGTGTGAGTGGACTCAGGAGCAGTGATTTAGCACAACTCCCTTTCTCCCAGCTTCATTACAAATTAAGAAACACACTATTTTCCAGCAGTCTTATTAAATAATTATTTATGTTTGAGAACTGTACTTCTCTATCACAATGAAAAAGCGCTTAAATTCTGCTGAAAATATTAGAATTTAAAGTAGGATTTGGGATTGTGAGCCTGTTTAGGTTTAAATACCTTTATGTTCTTAGAATAAAAATCAGAATTTCAGAATACAAGTTAATGAAAATGCTTAAAAGTTACTTTTCCAAAATTACATTCAGAATTTGGAAATAAAAGTGTTACTTAAACAAAAGACTAAGAGACTTGATTTATCAGCCTGTAGTATCTCTATTTAACCTGTTTCTGCTTAAAAGTATCTCCGCTCCCACATCATATAGCTTTGAAAAGCTTTCGGACTGACAATTTTGTGGCATCGAGTGTATCAACTCCTGAGAACTGTTACATTCTTCCAGGCTAAGAAAAGATAAATCTCTCATAAGGTATATTAAAATCCAAAGCACACAGCAGTGCAGTAGTAAAAAACAAAAAACCCACAACAAACCAAAACCACAGCATTTCTTGGGGTCAACTAAAATACCAGTCTTTGCTCTGTAACATG